ATAAAGGATGATGGGGGCGGTGGTTGCTCTTGCTCTTGCTCTTGCTCTTGCTGCTGCTGCTGCTCTTGAGGGGTGGCTGAATCTTTTGGCGAGTTCTCCTGAGTTGTTGCGCTTCGGTTCTCGAGCGGTGGGGCTAAGATCTTTAGAGGGCCGTGGGTGGGGATGGATGATGCTGGGGCAACTTCGTTGGCAATACGGGCTAGCATGAAGGTTACGAAAGTGAAAGAGACGCTGTGGGCGGGGGAGTAGGCGAGGCTTTCCAGCACCCACGCTTGGGTTTCTTCCCACGACAAAGGCGGCGCGCGGGTTTTCTCGCGAGCGAGGATCTGTTGGTCTAGATTTTGCCAGACAGTGTTGGTGACGACGCCGTCTTTCAATGACCGAAGGAACACAAGTAGCGTTTCGCCGAGGATCTCGAGACGATGAAGACAAGATACTTCGGGCGCGAAGACGATGCTGAAATCTTTATTGGTGTCCAAAGCCTCGCGAGCGGCGGCCAGAAGTGAGAGACGCTCGTCCTTGTCCCGTAAGGTCCATGTCTCAGGCTCAAAAGGCCAGCCATAGCCATAGGGCTCCTTGAGCCATGGAGCTATGTCATCCTCTGAGTGGCCTCTTGTCATACTCCATTCAGCGACAGCTCGTTCAGTCATTTCCGAGATAGCCTCAGTCAGTCTGAATAGCTCGCGAGGTGCCGATAGAGGCACGGCCGAATTCCGCCGTTGCTCGGAGTTGTTGAGACTCCGCGCTCCCGCCTCGGGCATCATTGTGAGCTCTTCGAGCGAGCGGCCAAAGCAGGTAGGCAGCCATTTGCCGTACGCAGAAATGAAATGGTCCCGGCCATTCGTTACTCGGAGGACGAGGACTTCTTCCAGGCTGAATTGGTCCTGATTCAACAACCGAGCCAGCTCTACGTCTCGGACATACGCCGTGACCTCAATATTAGCGATCTCACCAGGGAGGAGAGTGCATTCGTTCGACGGCAGCTTCCTTTTCGAGTTTTCTTGTTCAGAATGGTGTACCCTGTACTCCAACCAAGGAGCAGACTTGTGGGCTTCATTCTGTTCCGGCTTCTCCAGAGAAAAGGTGGCGGATACACCGCTGGTATTGGCGACTGTCAAGGTCCGAGTGACGGGAACATCGAACGGCACGTCTCCAAAATTCACGGCGTTGGGATCTTCGCTGGTGGGCTGATTACCATGATGATCGACCACCACGGTGAGTCCAGGTCGAGACTCGTTTTCAACCTTGTCCAGTTCTCGAACCACTTCCTGATGGATCTTGGCCTTTATTTGCGGATCCACGGACTCGAATGTCAAGGTAAATCCAGCCACAAGAGGCTTGTGGTCGGAGGAGAGTATCCCTTGGTGAGACAAGTAATAGTCTAACTGAAGAGACTCGTCGGCCTCAGCGGCAGACATAAAAGAGTCATCATCATTGGAATCCTTGTCGGGGTCATATTCATCCCCACTGTCCGCTCCGTCAACATCTGGGTCATAATCGAATAAGACGTTGTCATCAGCAGCCGCCTTATCCAGACCCCTAGCCTTCATCTGCTCATCCCGCTTCCTAGCCTCCTCGGCTTCTTTGGCCAGCCGCTCAGACCTCAGTTTGTCCTTGTGTGATCGGAAAAGGATCCGGTCGCACCAGCTGGGACCGCGATTTTTCTCACTCGAATCGAACCTGCCCACGCTGCCTACGTCATACTTGTAGGTAGGCAGAAAGGTGATGGGACCTTCTCGCCAACCATCATGGAACGCCTTACGCTTGCTCTGCTGCATTGTGAGTTGGTCATGGGGCAGCAGAGATGATATCGTGGTCTGTAAAGAGGCAGGATCTGTATGGGGATCGATGTCGTCGTCCGAAACAGGCGAGTTAGTGCTGCGTCTTTTAGATGATCGCTGCTGCTCTCCTTCGTCTTTGGCTACTACTTGAGGTGATTCGGTACGGTCACTGGTATCCACTCGTGTTTGGTGCCGGTTATCGTAGTCGTTCTCCGTGTGTCGAGCCAACACTCGACGCACATCATCCCCGGGTATGTCTTCCAGCCGGTAATTGAGATCTCCGAACCAGAAAGCAAAGTCCTCTTGCCCGATACTCTCGGCAGGGTCTTCACGAAGGCTCGCGATCGGATCAATGGGTTCGAAGCGAGTCCGTGTAACGATCTGCGAAGCATCCCAATTGCGCCGCTCCAGGCTGTTCTTATCGGACCCGGCGGCCAGATGGCAGTTCACAAAGACAACGCATGTAGTTTCGCCGAGGACCAAGCGAGTCGCGACGGCGCCTTTGTTACCCATGTATCCTAAGAGCCCCGTACCCACAGTAGTGCAGCTCACAGACGATACCTGGTTGGCCAGGGAGGGGGAAGCATACACCAGCTGCAGCAATCCCACCAGCTGTGTCTCGGCAACAAGCTTATATCCCGGTGGCAAGGCCTTCTCCAGCGCCGCCTCCCATCTATTGGCCGGCGCTGGATCGACAAACGGTCTCAGCGCCTCCGCCGGCGACGAGACATCCACAATCTCCTGCAAGCCCAGAACGTAGAGGTCAATCTGGTCCGGCGCAGTCTCGGACAATGACGCTGTCTGCCCTGCGGAAGAGTCGTCCGTCTGATTTTCTCCCTGCGAGTCCTTAACCCGCAACCCAGATAATTGCTCGCATACCCCCTTCTGTTGCACGAACCAGTTCCCGATGTCGTTCTCGGTGCCTGGAATCGCAGCCACGTTCCATGTGCCGACCTTGACTCGGATCGACTGCTGGCGGGTGTATTCGGCCTTTCGCGCTTTGACGGCCTGCGGGAGCGATGAGGGGTCGGTCTCCGGAAACGTTTCGTTATCGCCCGGATATTCGCCGGAGATGTGTTGCTGCGATGGCGGTTGCTGGGCGGTGGAAGCCATGGTGTATGATGAAGGGAGTAGTGTGCGCCCTCTCGTTGAATCCAGGGATATAGATCTATATATAGGGTGGCCTCCGAGCGATGCGGGCGAATACGAGGTCACCGCGGACTGGCACGCGGCGCAACAGGTTGCACAAACGAATAGGAGCTAGATGCGATAATTTGAAACATTAGGAAATGAACATCAGGCGACCATCAAACGAGAGATCAGAGGTCGTTCTAAATCAAAACTGAGGTGTGGAACAGAGCGCTGGTGGCGAAGGCTGTAGCGAGCGAGAACTGCGTGGACTACGTATAAGCCCGCGGGAGCGGCGGCTCTGGATTGGTATAGACTGGGATGGGAGGCGCTCACATGCGAGACAACAGTCTTGGAAATTCGATTCAAGGTCTGCGATCAGCCTTCTCAAAGAGGGATCGCAGAACCCAGTGAAAGAGAGAAAGGGTGGTGAGAGGATGGAGGTTTTGAGGTGGGAGGGGGAAGAAGGAGAAGGAGAAGAGGGAGAGGGCGGATGAATCAATGATGGAATGACATTCCAGACCGCGGGGTGCTTTCCGACCGGCCAGTGCAGTGAGCTTCTTCCCCTTCCTTTCCCTTCCTCTCTCCGCCGCAACTTCCTCACATCATCATCACCTCCACCTCACCTCCATTCACATCCTTCGTCTCTCTCTTTGACCTCACAATCCTTCTCTATACCGGCACTCGCACACAATGTCCGCTCGCAAACCCCGACGCGCCCACTCCAACCAGAGCACCAACAACCTCAACAACCCGCGACACCATCAACACCACCCAAGCCAAAGCGGCTTCGCCCAACCCTCCGACTACGACTCCGACTACCAAACCTATCTCTCAGACACGCAGCACCACCACCAACAACAGCAGCAGCAGCAGCAGCAACAGCAACTCCCCATCCACCCTCACCCTCACCCTCAGCACCCCCCACAAGCACAACAACAACAACCACTACTCCCAATGACAACCACCACGACGGTCCCCGCGCGGCCGCCCCTCCGCACCAACGAAGACCTCAACCTCTCCGTCCTCCGCCGCCACAACCCAACCATCACCTCGATCCTCTCACTCGCGCAATACGCCGTGGTCTACATCTTCAGCCCCAGCACGCGCCAATGGGAGAAAAGCGGCGTGGAGGGGACGCTGTTCGTGTGCCAACGGTCGCAGGGCGAGCTGGGCGAGGAGCGCTACAGCGTCTTCGTGCTGAACCGCCGCGGGCTCAACAATTTCGACCTCCCGCTCTCCGACGGCGACAACGTCGAGATCACCGAGGAGTATATCATCCTGAAGTCGGATCTCGCGCCGGAGGTGGTGGAGGGTGCTTCCATCCCGGGGATGGTGCCGCCAGCGAACTCCACTGCCCCTGCTGCTGCTGCGAAGCCTTCAGGGAATGGTGGCGGTGGTGGTGGTGGTGGTGGTGGGGATATTCGGATCTACGGGTTGTGGATCTACAGTGAACCGCCGCCGAATTCTACGGCCGAGACGCGCAGCATCAACGCGCAGATGATCCGCGAGTGTGCGGTGCATGCCGGGGAGAGCTTGAAGCTGGCCCGCGAGCGCGTGGAGGCGACACGGCAGAATGGGATGCATGTGGCTGCGGCGACGGCGGCGGCGGCGGCTACGACGGGCGCCCCGTTGGAGGAGGTGAGCACCAGTGTGGCGATGGGGAGGCAGGTCTCGCTCAAGGATCTGTTCGGCCAGCAGCGCGCCCAGGATGATGGGTGGAGTGTGCGCGCGCATCAGATTGCGCCCGCCGATTGGCAGCATGCGCCTCCGTCGCAGCCGCAGCCGGGTCCGGGGTCGGGTCCTGCGCAGGCTGGAGCTGTGCCGGCACTGCAGCAGGATGTCCTGGGGGATTTGTTTCGGAGGGCTGGGCTGGCGTATCAGGGGGGCCAGTGAGGTCTATATTTTTGGGTGTGCATATGAGAGAGGATACCCATGAATGACGGTGGTATGATTAGCGCATATAGAAGTTTTGGTGTGCATTGTTGAAAGACGTCCGTAGCCCTACCTCTATTACACAATGTCTATGCATTCAATACCTCCATGCTTCTTCCCCCATCCAACCCCCAAATCCCTAGATTATCCATCCCATCACCGCACAATCTCCCTAACCATCCCAGCAACCTTCTCCGCCATAACCTCACTATGCCCTACCCCATCACAACCCAGTCAGCACACACCCCTCAAATCAACCCACATCCCCGCCCCAAGAACAGCCCCGAGACCCAAACCACCAAGACGGGGGGGAAAAGACTCACTCAAACAGAAAGCATGCGGCACGCCCTCCTCACAAACCACCATCGTCGGACCACTTCCCCCTTCCCCCTCCCCACCCTTCGCCCTACCATTCGAACTTGAACTCCCATTCCCACCCCCCCGCAAAGCAATAATCTCCTCCCTCGTCTCCTCAGCCACCCAATGATCCCCGCGCCCATAGTAGAAGAATAACCTCGTCAACCCCTCCTCATTCTCGGGGGTCGACGCAATCCCCCACACCTCGTCGGCCCACTCGTCCGAGTTGATGGTGGACATCTCCGAGGCGGCCATGTGTCTATCACCTGTCAGCTTCGCACGGAGACTGTACTCGTACGACAAGGGGTTTAGTGGGGTCATGATGATTTCGGATCTCACTGGACCTAATCTCCGAGAAAAGAGAGAGGGGAAGGGAAATGGGAAGGGCGAACGTACAAAGCCTGTCTTACCCCCCTCTTACTCGCGAGGAATCGACACGTCGTGTCCACGGCGTCGGACGGCGGGGATCCCATCGCCAGACGCACGACCGTGCGGAGCAGGAAGGCCGGGAGGAGGGTCGTGAGGACCCGGGCGAAGAGGCTGGCGATGAGGGCTAGGTGAGGGAGGATGCTGAGGAGGGTCTTACCCGTGTGGGGATAGGTGAGGCGGTTAGCGGGTGGTTTTTTTAAGTTATCCTCGGGGAGAGTGGGCAGGAGAGGATTGAGTGATTTCGGGGAAAGGTTTGGGGGCTTACGGTCAGTTTCCTCCCGGAGGGGGATTTCGCGATGTCGACGACGGTGGGGAAGAGGAGGATGCCGCTGGTGAGGGTGAAGGAGGGGTGGTTTTGGTCGGCTGATGATGAGAAGGATGATGTTAACGATGTTGATGCTGATGTTGATGCTGATGCTGAGCATCGTTCGCGGTGGCGCCGGATGAGCTCCATAGCGATGTAGGTCCCCACGGAGTGGCCGATCAATATAACTCGGGGTCTGATTGTCTCATCGTTGGCATGATTCAAGGCTGAGGTCTCCGATGCAACAACGCTATTCACGCAATCGTCCAGCTTGCGCTGCACGAAGCGGATCTGGTCTTCCAGGTCGTGATAGTGTGATGTGTGGTAATCGGACGGTGATGAAGACACCTCAAAGCCGGCGAGGCTGTGGCCGTAGAGGTGAAACCTGGGGCACGCATCGTCCTCGGAGCTCCAGGCCCTCAATTTCTCGATCAGATGCGTGAAGAATGGGTAGTAGTATGATATCAAGCCAGGATTGCCGGAGATGAAGTAGATAAGCACGGGGCTCCCAGACAAACTCCCGGAGGATTTCTTGTCGCACAAGGTGTGGAAGAAACTATCCGGGGTCATGTGAGGGTCAATTTCCGGGGGCATGGCGCCTGAGTCAATGTCTAACGACACGCTGAAGATCTCTGAATCATGCATGTCCACCTCAAACTTCAAGTCTGGAACATGCAATGCATCCTGTCTTCGTCGCTGCCTCGCCGGCCGCGGGAGACAGCGGCGGATGTACTCTTTTCCCGCTAGCCGAGGATGTGATCGGCGCTCATATACATACATCCTACACATACATTATTCTACAGTCGCTAACATCGCGGCGCCAGGATCAAGTTCACTTGACATTGCCCATGCAAAGATATGTGCAATCGATGTCTTTTCGCAAATGCTATCCTCCTCTTCAACCCCAGCCCATACCATACCATACCGTCCAGTCCATCCAGCAAGCCTGACTCCGCCCCTGTCCAGAGCCCTCGAAATCCCGAATGATAAGTGAAGAGAAGAGGAAAAGTGCTATAAATGTACAATCATCTCGAACCGGACTGATCAAAACAAGTCCGGCTTCTAAAAGGAAAGCCATCAAGGAACAAAGAGGGAATCGTACAGAAAGAATGCGTTCGGTCCATCGGTAACAATGCTAGAAAAACGCATCACTTCATCTGGTATCTAGAAGGCTGTCGTAAACAAACACGGAGTGTTCCGCAACTCTGACAAATGACAACACAACAATGAATGCAGGGAGAGGATATTCACAACAAAAAGATCAGACGATTCAGAATATCATGAAATCATCCACCTTGACTGTCATGGTTATCATCTCGGTTCTCCTTTTCGTTGCTCGTTTTGTCTACCGCGGTATCAGTGGGCTTGACTGTTGCGGAGCCCAGGTTGATCGCAATCCGTTTTGGTGCGGCGCTGGTGGTCGTATTGCCCAAAGTCGACCCTTTCTCGTTGGATGAAAGAGAGCCAATAGACACGCTTCGTTTCCGGCGCAGAAGCCCTGCACTCCCGGATCCTGCATTGACTGAGCTTCGTCGTTTGGGGCCCGTTGTAAGCTTCATCAATTCGTCATCATCTTCCTCTTCGCGTCGGCGCTTCTCCGACAATCTTTCGGGTGGGGTCTGTATTGTCAACGAGACGGGCGTGGACGGTGCCTCCTCCGATGAATCCATGGTAGTGTCTCGACTGGGGTCATCCTGTGATGGCGATTCTTGCTTTGGTTGCGTCTGGTCTTCAGCCTTGGTATCCATCGCGTCGTCTTCGTCGTCATCATCTGGATAATCAACTAAAGGCTTCACTACGGGCGATGCTGCGCCGTTCTGCGGGTGTGCAGAGATTGCTGTGTTCTGTTGGGGATCCTGCTGCCACTTTAGAACATGGTTAGTACTCCGGTTTGTCTGTTTCCTGGCTGATGCGACTTACCTCTTCTTCATCATCCGAAGTGTTGAAGTATTCTTCTTCTGCAGCGTCCATTTCCTTGACTCCTTGCCAGCGCGACCCATTGGCTTGCATCCGCTGATCTGGCAATTCTTCTTCCTGGGAGTATAGAGTAGAGTCCGCCTCCTCTGCGCCGTAGCCCTGCAATTGCTCGTAACGTAAGTACAGGGTTTGGAACGTGTCCACATAGGTGATGTTCTTGATCTGCTCGCCATATTTCTCCACCAGATGAAGAACGATGGGTTTGATGTTCTCGCGCTTGATGTACTCGAAGAGTTCAAGGCAGGCCGAATTCAGAAGGTTGTCACGTGGCATCGACTGGTAGACGATATCGAGGATCAGACCAAACGTGTTGTTGCGGGTCATCATAGCTTGGTAAAAGGTATCTTGAAGACTAATTAGAGTGCGAAAGAACTTCAGGGCAGCTGTGGAGATTAAGAAGTTAGTTTCCAGCAGACCAACGCAACTATCGCAGCGACCTACTCAATTTGAGATGCTTCTGGGGCACAGTGAGTAGTTGAGCGACCCGAGGGGCGAGCGACTCGTCATGGATAACATTGCGAGAACGGTATAGATGCTGGCGCACGAAGAACGTAAGAATATCGACCAGATGCGAATACAGCGTTACATCTTGGAATGTGAGATCATTCACTGCGAAAGGGGGCGCCACAGTCAGCAAACATCAAACGATGGCATAGAGTAGCAAAACTCACGATTATCGCTGTTTTCGAGTCGCTTCAGAGGCCGAAACAGCCTCCTTGCAGACTCGTCGAAATGGTTCTGGACAAATGTATCCGAAAAGATATTGGAACGTGGCTTGTTGAAGTGCTCGGGTCCAGCCCGAGCCATGGCATCCGGCATTGGGATTTGTGGATCTAGCAGGACCTTGATCGCATCGGCAAGCTGATTCTTGACTCCGAGGTCGGTTTCCGTGTGCAGCAGGTCGATCAAAGTATCTGTAAGGGGCGTTTTCTTCTCGCTGACGGCCTTTAGCATGTATCCGCGCATCATGATCTGATCGTGGTCGAGGAGAGACACCAGAAGATCGATGCCTGTCGTGCGCAGTGGCGGCTTGGGGTGTTTGATGGCAAATGCGATCACAGCGAATAGACCATGGTTGATGAAATTGGCAAAGAGATTCGCACGCGCCGGCGCTTGCAAGTTCTTTGCGATGACGGCGCATTGATGAAGGAATTGGACCGCGTCCTCCTTACGCTTGTTGTCGGCGTTTCTAGGGTCGAATACTGTAAAGAGTTCCTTCAAGAACTGCGCGTTGGATTGTATATGATTAACGATTTCCACCTGGTTGAAGAAGATCAAGGAGTTTAGCACTGAAAACGTAGGATCATCTAGGATCCTAGCCAGAACCACGTCTTTGAGGTACTGTAAGCGCCAGGTGTATCGGATCTTGCGACGAATGAGAGGGTCCTTGATAGGAACCACTTCTTTGTAACGCGTCTGGTCTGCGAGGTAATGGCGATGGTTGGCCTTGTGGGTAGGGAACTCGGGGTCGTCTACAGCCCATTAGCGATTTCCTCAGCGCAAGACACTGCCATCGGGATTCATACATTCCAATGCCCCAACGACACCCAGGATGACGGGGTCTGTGACCACGGTTTCGATGATCGTGTTGTCGTTGAGTAGAATCAGCGACTTCATGATATTGCAAAGGCGATGTAGATCCGGAAGGCTTTCGAGGTCTTCCGCCATCGAGACCAGAGGAATCAATTTCGGAATATACTCATCACGAATGACCAATTTGGAAAGAGCATCGCGGCCGGCTTGAGTTATGCTCGAGGTCCGCATGATGTGGTCGATTTCGGGAAGGTTGCCTAGCTCGGGCGCCGGCAGCATAATCGACTGGTAGCTCTCGATCTCATCGGACAAGGCATCTTCTAGGCACAACGGAATGACCAGGTCAGCAAAATATCCCGTCATCAGCTATCGCCGCAGCGTAGCCCGGGGATGGGAGGAAATCTAACCTCCCGGCGCCAAACTGAGTAGATGTTGCTGCACGTTGTTGACGAAATCCCTTCGGAGGCTCAGTCAGTCTTCGGCTTGACTCATTTCCACTCCGTTCCGAGCTGGGCTCGATGCGCCTTACCAGATGACCGCGCAGCCTTCGGCCTCCTGAAAACTGAGTGCCATATCCGTTCCATTGGGCTCTGTCCATACGATCAATGTCTCTGATGGGGTCGCGTGATGGTCAGTGATGGTTCTTGTACGACTTGTCGCGTGCGCAATGGGCGGGCAGCGCGCAGGAGGGGTGGCACCTTGTTGCTTCTGGTATCCATCATCCTTGGAGATCTTGGTCTCCAACAGCACCCGGTTGGGTTCATCTTCCGACTCGACGAATATCCGCGGCTCATCCTAGCCATGGCGTGGACTGGTTAGCGATGAAATCTTTCATGGGAGCGACAACGCGCGCGCCCGACGGCGATGGTGCGTTTGCGCCCGACGAGCGGGCGACGCAGCCGTCGCGCGGCGGACAGCAGGTGAAAGGGACACAACTCACATCCAGGATCTGACCGGTGCAGAAGCCGGTGCCACGATCGAACCAGTCATTATCTCTGAGTTCATAGACCTTCACCCGCTTGCGATCGCTGGGTGGTTGCACCTCCAACGCCATGGTCCGGCAAAACGGAGAGGTGGCGTCTCGTCACTCCGGGACAACTCAGGAACGAGTGTTCCGGCGCGAGGAGAGCCCCAACGGAAGGGAAGGCGGAGAGAAAGATAAGAAAAGGCCGCGGCTTGGTCCAGATTGGACGGAGGATGTGCGGAAGGGAAGGGAAGGGAAAGAAGTGGGGATGGGAGGGAAAAGCGGGAAAGGTTAAAAAAGGGAGAAAGAAGGGAGAAGGGGAGGAATGATGATGTGGATGTGTGGATGTGATATGATGTGATAATCCGGTCAGGTGGAGGGGGAGAAGAGGAAAAGAAGAAAGGGAAGAGGAGACGGAGAGAGGAGGGGAGGGGGGAGGAAAGGCGACGAGGATGGAAACAAGCAAACGACGAGTACAGACAGAGAGAGAAGGAGGTTAAGGAGAGGTGTTGTGTGTTGTGTAGTGTATTGTAATGTAGGAGGAAAGGATAAGAGAGTTAGGTGTAGGAGAGAAAATGATGTAAAAGGGAAGAAAAGTGACAGGCCAAAAAAATAAAGATAGTAAGTAGCAGTCGCAGTAACTCCTCCGTACAGGTAAGAAGATGGGGACGGGGAAAGGTTAGCTGCTGCTTGTTGCTTGCTTGCTGCTGCTGCTTCCCTCACAGCTTGGACAGTACAGTACTTGTGCCTATGCTTTTGCTTCTGCTTCTGCTTCTGCTTGTTCTTAGATGATGAATGAGGATCCTTCCTGGCTTGGGGGTCGGGACCACCTGACGGCCTCGGCAGCTGTCTGTCTGTCTGTCTGTCTGTCTGTCTGTCTGCCTACCTATCTGCCTATCTGTCTCGGAAAAGGAAAAGAAAATGAACCGGACAACAACAACAACACGCGACCGTACTGAACAACACTACCTAAGGAATTGAAATCGCGCAACAAATCGGGACCTTATCAGAGCTAAGCTGAACTGGACAACGTCCGATATACGGCAACCCACCAACAGCCAGCCAGCAGTACATGACATTCCTACTACTCGTATGAAGGGCCAGCTCGGGGATCCGCAGCGAAAGCGGAGCGAGCAATTGCAGACTTGAAACCTTTCTGTCTACACCGGATCATAGCTATTCATATTAACTTATCTGAATACTCATCAGTTCCTCAATCAACAAGGGTCTTGCCGATGACGTGCGCGTCCCCGGAACGGTTTCAGGCCAGCCCTGAGGATTCAGGATAAGAATAGCCCACCAGCCGCTAGGGTGTCGGGGGGGCGGGGGGTTGGACCTTACAGCAGGATGCTTCTTCTTGTTCCATTTGGAGGGATGTGATACTGAATAGATTTATTTGTGGTTATTGTACTCCTCCGTATTGTAGTTAAGGTTGGGTCACCGGGTTGTCAGTCAGTCGGTCGGTCGGTCAGTCAAGGGGTGGAATGGCAAGGAGGAAGGAAGACCAAAAAGGTTCTAGCCCCGTCACTTATTGTTCCCCTCCCATTGTCAAATATTTGAATTGTTCTATAATTGTTCCATAAGGTACAGTACTAACAAGAAGAGTGTGTGTCCGCAACTGTAATCATCATCCCGGGACCCCACGCATTCAATATCCATGGAACCTTGGAGTGGATATGTAATAAGCTACTTCAGCCTCAGAACAGACGATCATTAACGTTAGGGAAGCAAAAGAATCGCAGTCATTGTTGTCGCCTCCCTTCGGGTCATTCCGCCTCTCTCCACCATCGATCAACAATAGACTAATGTTGATAGAGACCGAACAAGACCTAAGGTAGGTCGGGGCTCCTTCTCAGTTGGGCAGCGATCAGTTCAAGCTCAACCCGGGACTGCCTGAAGATGGTTGCACTACCGATACGGATCACTGCGCCTGTGCTCCCCTCGGTCAATAGATGAACCAAGGGGAGGGAAGGGGAGGATGGGTCATGTGGGGGATGCTGCGTCACCAAACATGCTCAATTCTTTGGATTTGAATCATGTTGGAGGAAATCCGTCATGAGTGCGGTTATCAGTGGGCGGATCGGAACTTCTTCCAGAAGAATGGCAAAGTGAATGAATGAATGCGACGGACGGAGGACAGGCCCGGATTGGAGTCCCGATGAGATCATCGCACAAAGCCTAATTCGGGGTGCCTGGGGCAGCCACTGCAGTGTGGCAAGATGAGTGTGACCATAGTCGAATTGATTTCTGAGTTGACCAATGAAGCTTGTTAAATCAGCTAACTGTATGCTTCGATACAGGTACGTATACAGTCTAATCATGTTGAATGGGTAGTCAACTACCTAGTAGGAACAGTAGGTGCCTACTACCATGCAACATACATACAACCGGTAACTTATAGGCCGGAACCCTACGTATTTATATATTAACTCCCTTCCCCCCCTGTAAGGCAAGAAAAAGAAAGTGCCCGGTGGATGTTCCGTGCAGGAACGCTAAGATCGGTGCATTGATGCGGAGGTGGCACTCAGACATCTACCTAAAACCGCTGCAGAATGTATGAGAGATCCCCCGTTAGCATCAAATCGCTATTCTTATCGTGGCCACTCCTTGGTAGTCGGTGTGTTCCAGACTGCTACCTGCTACCTGCTAAGCGTTGGATGATCCCTGATAGTCTAGCCGCCGGCGACGCGGGTCAGCTCCCTGATCGGGCCCGAGCGGTAGGGATGGATGGATCCACTTGGCGGGTGCGGACCGTGATTGGCTGCGAAGCACATGACGGGCGGGCGGATCTGATTCAGTTGGTGATTACATAATCTAGAGTTGAAAGTCCTCTCCACTTTCCAGTTGGTTTCCTCGGGACTTTCTCCAGCTTCATATCTCTCCAAATCAGCCGGCCGTTGGGTCTGATATACCCACGACCATCCGCGAGCGACTTCGGGAGCTTTGCGCTCGTGCGGGTTGGAAAGCTCCCGTCAGTGTGTCGTTATTCCAGTCATTTTCAGAGACGTTGGTTGCAGCAGTTGCAGCAGCCATGACACATTCTGCTGTGTCCCATGGCACAGACGACACTGGGGCTGGCCCATCCTCCACGGGCACCGATCTCGGTCGTGGCCATATACCACCACCCTCCAAGTCCGATGCCTCCGCTACCTATGATGTATATCCTACCGCGACGGACGGTAGCACCGACGAGGACTCGGAACCCGCAACAACAGCCGACCATCCCACCGACAAACCGCAAAGCCTGCTCGCCTACCTGACCACCCGAGAATTCTACATCACCCTTTTCCTCGGGTAAGACCGTATACACCACCGTCCTGACCTTTCGACTAACCACTGGATCCTCAAATAGTCAAATCCTCGCCATCACCAACACAGCCTGCAGCACCTTCAGCACCCTCCTCGCCGACCGCGGCGTCTCCCTCCCGGCCACGCAGACCTTCTTCAACTACCTCGTGCTGACCGTGATCTTCACCACCTACACAATCCACCGCCACGGCCTCCAGGGCTGGACCCGGAGTTTTCGGAGTCGTGGTTGGAAATGTATGATATGCCCCTCGCTGAGTCCCCGCCACGATCTTCCCGTCCCCATCCATGATGACCCTCTCCCCGTCCTCCTC